TTCTGATATTATTTGAGTCCTCTCCATTTTTATCTTGATGAGTCTGCTTATAGGCTTGTCAATTTTGTTTATCTTTTCAAAGAACCAGCTCCCAGATTGGTTGATCCCTTGAACTGTTCTTTTAGTGTCTATGTCATTCAATTCTGCTGTGATCTTGATTATTTCCTTCCTTCTACTTCCTCTGGGCTTTGTTTGTTGTTGTTTCTCCAGTTTTTGAAGTTGTAGGGTTAGGCCATTTATTTGAATGTTTCTGTCCTTTTTAGGTAGGCCTGCATTGCTATGAACTTCCCTCTCAGGACTGCCTTTGCTGTGTCCCATAGGTTTTGAACTGTTGTCTGTTCATTTTTGTTTCCAGAAACTTTTTGATTTCTTCTCTTATTATTGACCCATTCATTGTTTAATAGTGTGCTATTCAGTCTCCATGAATTTGAAAGTTTTTGAGGTTTTTCCTTGATGTTGGTTTCCACTTTCAAGCCCTTGTGGTCTGAGAAAATGCTTATTATCTCAATTTTCCCGATTTTGTTGGGGCTTGTTTTGTGTCTTATCATGTGGTCTATCTTTGAAAATGTTCCACGCGCATTTGAAAAGAATGTGTATTTTGCTTCTTTGGGATGTAAGGTTCTATATATGTCAGGTAAGTCCACTTGATCATTCAGTTCAACAATATCCTTGTTTATGTTTTGTTTGGAAATCTATCCATTTTTGACAGTAGGATGTTAAAATCCCCTACTATCAGTGTGTTGCTGTCTATATCTTTTTTGAAGTTCTCCGAGATTTTCCTTATATATTTGGGTGCTCCTATGTTGGGTGCATGTAAGTTTACATTTATGTCTTCTTGATGGATTCTTCCTTTGAGTATAATAAAGTGTCCTTCTGGGTCTCTTTTTATGGCCTTTGTTTTGAAATCTATTTTGTCTGATATAAGTATTGCTAGCCCTGTTTTTTTTCCTGGCCATTTGTTTGGAATATTTTTTCCATCCCTTTACTTTCAGTTGGTATAGGTCCGTTGTTCTGAGGTGGATCTTCTGCAGACAGCATATGTGTGAGTCATGTTTTCTTACCCATTTAGCTATCCTGTGTCTTTTTATTGGGGCATTTAGTTCATTTACATTTAAAATTATTACTGATAGGTACTTATTCATTTTTTCCCTTTGTACCTGTGTTTTTCTCTTTCTTACTCTTTTTCTTCATCTTCCTAAATCCTTCCCTTTAGTATATCTTGTAGTAATGGTTTGGTGGAGATGAATTCTTTTAGCCTTCTTTTGTCTGGGAAACTCCTTATTTCCCCTTCCATTTTAATTGAGAGCTTTGCTGGATAGAGCAGTCTTGGTTGTAGGCTTTTGCTTTTCATTACTTGGAATATTTCTTGCCATTCCCTTCTGGCTTGCAGTGTTTCTGTCGAGAAGTCAGCTGCTAGCCATACCAGGGCTCCCTTGTATGTGTTTACCTGTTGTCCTCTTGCTGCCTTTAGGATTCTCTGTTTGTCTTTCATATTTGCCATTTTAATGATGATGTGTCTTGGAGTGGGCCTCATTAGCTTCCTCTTTAATGGGCCCTCTGTGCTTCCTGGACTTACGAGACTTTTTCTCTCCTCCAATTATGGGAGCATTCCATCGTTACTTATTCAAACAGGTTCTCTATCCCTTCCTTATCCTCTTCTCATTCTGGTATCCCTATTATATGGATATTATTACATTTCAGGTTGTCTTGCATCTCCCTAAATGCCTCTTCATTCTTTTTGAGTCTTTTTTATTTTCTTGCTCTTTCTGGGAGCTTTTTTCTACCTTGATTCGATCCTCTGCTTCATCTATCCTGCTTTTGATTCCTTCTACTGTGTTCCTCAATTCAGAAATTGTATTCTTCATTTCCTCTTGTCTCTTATTTATAGTTTGTATGTCCTTTTTCATATTGATATAGTTTGCAGTAAGTTCCTCATAGTTTCCCTGTAGTTTTTCATAATTCTCTTTGAGCTCTCTGAGCTCGTTGAGCTTCCTTAGAACCATTGTTTTGAACTCAATATCTGATAGTTTACTTGCCTCTATTTCATTTAGTTCTCTCTGTGGGGATTCCTTCTTTGTCCTCGTTTCAGGGGTGCTTCTTTTCCTTCCTATTATTTGTGAGACTCTTTTTGCTTCTACTTCTTAAATTCATCTTCCTTGATTTCCTGAGTTGTGATGTGAACTTCTATGGTAATAGATGGGTCTTTTTTTTCCCTTCCTTTTCTTTCTGGGTCTCCCTCTGATGTTGTCAGACGTTGACCTCATCTGACCTTGGGTTGTCTTTTTGAGACTTCTAGGAATCAGTTACTGTCTGTGTCTGTCTCCTGCAATTCTTAATCTAGTCACTCTACCCTCAGCCATCAGGCTTAGGCACCACAGGGCAGGGCAATGCCTCCTGAGGGTGGGGCAATTGTGTCCTTACAGGCTGCTGCCACTCAGGGGTATGGTCTGCCTTAGCAAAATGGAAGCTGAGGAGTGGTGGAGGAGTCACCACCGATATCCCCCTGGTACTCCCCCAGTTCTTTCCACAGCGCCTCTGTGTCCAGTCTCTCCTCAAGCGTCTCTAGGTAGCTCTGTGTCTCCTTTAGCCAGGGACCCACTTTCTGTGTCAGCCACTCTGCACTCAGCACCCAGGCCTGCACCCAACTCCTGGCCACGGCAGAGTGTCCTGAGGGCAGGGATATTGTTTCCTTTCCTGCTGCTGCCTCTCTGGGGCATGGCCTGCCTAAGCAAGATGGAGACTGCAGAATGGGGAAGGAGCCACTACTGGGATCCCGCCAGCTACTCCCTCAGTTCTCTCCCCAACACCTCCGTCCACAGTCTCTCCTCAAGCATCTCTAGACAGCTGTGTGTCCACTTTAGCTAGGGATCTACTATCTGTGCCAGCCACTCTGCACTCAGCACTCAGGTCTGCACACAACTCCTGGTCAGGGTAGAGCCTCCTGAGGGTGAGGCTATTGTGTCCTCTATGCCTGAGCAAGATGGAAGCTGCAGAGTGGGAAGTGAGTCATCACTGGAGGCAGGACTGGCGCCTGTCTCAGTTCTCTCCCCAAATCTTTCCTCACCAATCTCTCCCCACATGGCTCCAGCCCACTCTGCTCCCGCCTCTGCCCAGAGACCAAGGTAGGTGGCTGCCACTCCGAAGTTTTGCATTGGCCCTTTAATCATCTCTTTGCGTCTCTAACCCCCTGTCTCTGGCAGAAAGCACCACGACGCTTTTCGCAGCTGTCTTTTGTCTGTGTGCTTTTTTGGGGTTCTGGTGCTATAGGCTAGAGGTCCCCACTTATGATTCAGATCCTGTTCTTCTTAGGGGGATCCAAATGGCCATTTCAATATCTGTCTGGTGCTGGTGCCCATGGGCATCCTGTCCACCCTCTCAAGCTTACACTGAACTTCTCACTCGTTAGGTTGTGCAAAAGCCAATTCCACTGACTGTCCAAAGCTCCAAGGATCCTCTTTCATATGTCATTCCATTGTTTTCCAGGTGATTTCTCCAAAATTTAGCTGCAATTCCAGTTTGGTCCTGGGAGGAGGTCAGTGTGACTTCCACTCACTCCTCTGCCATACTCTAATTTTTATGACTAATTTTTATGATTAAGATTTTCATTATTTTATTACTTATCACTCTTTTGTAATAAATTCCACACATCCACATTGAAACTCCTAGAAATGGAACTGCTGTGTCAAAAGTCATGTCAAACAATGCATTTAAAGGTTTTTGACAAATTGCTCTCGTGGAAAGCTATCCTACCATCAGTGTATGAATGGGGTCTCCTCCTACAATTTTCTTTTTACATTTTAATGTGTTTAAACATTTGGAAAAAAAAATGGTATCTTCCTTTTGGTCTTAGTTACTATTCTTTGATTACTAGTGAAGAAAGGCGTTTTTCAAATTTGTTACACATTTATTATTCTTCTTGGCTAATTCTCTCTTCATATGACTATCCATTCTTTCTTTCAAACAACTGGACTTCATTTAGTTTACTTACTGAGCTCTTTATATATTGGCTCATTTTCATTAAGTGTGTTGTCTAAATAATTTTTTAAACATACATATATTTATTTTATATATTTGTGAGGTCAACTCTCTCAATCTTTCATGTTTTCTGTCTTTAGGTTACCCTAGTAAAGACATTTTCACCCAAGACTAGAGATAAGTCTACTGTATTTATTCTAGTACCCTAGGATAGCTTGGATACACATGTATTTAAATTTTTACTATATCTGAAATTGAGAAGGAGGGAGTAAAGTGTGAGGCTGGGAATCTCACTCTTTTCTGAGTGGCCAGTTTATTCAAGATCCCTTGTGATCCATTACCTCCCCACTGATCTCAAAATCTGCCTAGTGAACCATCACACCCCTGGGTACACGAGGGTCTGACTCCATGCTGGAACTGGATGATGTACAACAGGTAGAGACAGAACTCTACTCCCTAATGCTCTCTCCACCTTCCTCCACTGGCCTCATTTCTTTGCCTTTTATAACTGTGGCAGAAACCAATGTCAGGGCCTCTTTTTCCCCATAGAGTGGCAGGGCTCGCTATGTGGCTGGTCCCTACAAATCACAGGTAGTCCAGGGCTATGATTCCCAATAATTCTCCACATCTGTCTCTGCCACAATTCTTGCCCCTTCCAGCTAAAGGGTTTAAGTGTGAATCTGTGAATATTCTCTTGGGACATGCTCTCCTTCAGGAGGTAAACCAGCTGCAGCTTTTCTTAAAGTCTAGAGCTTGCTCTAACAACTCTTCCTAGAAATCTCTGGCACATGGGAGGCACTTATTCCTAGTTTCCAGCATCAAGGCAAACATATTTTTTTCATTGTATATTCTGATTATCACTTCAGTGGGAATTTGGGAGTGAGTGGACTAGAACACCTGTGATCAAATACAATCTTCCCAGAAAGCCAAATCGCTTTGTATAATTAACATTCAATCCTGTCACTCATGAATTCCAAGAACAACCTGTGCTTTGTAACATGATGTAAACGATTCACACATATTACCTTTAATAGCTGCTAAATATCCTCGGAGTTCTCGCTGAAGTCTGGTACCCTCTGCCTGAAAAACACACAAACAAAGAGATATTGAGCATCTTGTCTATATTTTGCATGTGAACATATACAAAACAGTAAGTCTCAGAATTATTGCCAGAGGCTCCTTCTTGAAATAACATAAATATACAGACACAGACTAAACAAGGTGCCCGTCAGTCTAAATATTTAGAGACTTTATTCAGCTTAACAGAAAAGGGCAAGGCAAGTAAAATTTTGCTAAGAAGGAAACTGGCCCACCATACAGGCTCCTAGATATTCAAGAGCCAGCAAGTCTCTAAATTTTGAAATGGGTTATGATGGTATTACCACTGTCCAATATGGTAGCCACTAGACACATGTGACTGCTTAGTGCTTGCAACATGATTAGTCTGAATAAAGATGTACTTTAAGTGTAAAATACACACCTGATTTCAGAGACTTTGTACAAAAATATTCCATTAATGTGTTTTACATCAATTGCATGTTAAGATGATAAAATTTTGGATACACTGAGTTAAACAATTGTATTATTAAAATTAATTTCACCTGTTTATTTTCACGTTTTTAAATGTGCACACTAGAAAAATTTAAATTAACATATGTGGTTTGTATTATATTTCTATTGGACATTACTGAAATGGAGATATTGTTAAAATGTAAATTTTGATATATGAATCCTAATTTTGGTTGGATTACCCTTAAAAACTCTGACTCAGGCCAGGATTAGACTGCAAATAGCTCAATCTGGAGTTAACCCAGGAAATGTCAATAGGGGCATGGAGAAATGAGGCAGGGAAGGAAAGAGAGCCATCACAGGGTATATTATCAAGCAAATAACCATGGTGGGCAACTGGCCTTAGTCCCACTGGAGAACTCTGGGAGATGGTCTCAAACACTATAGATATCCTACCTGAGGGGCAAGGAAGTTGGGACATTTATCCATCAACTCCCGACAAGTATTGGTTGAGGACTGCTTCTGGGGGTCATTAATTCCTCCAGTACATCCTCACAGGGGCAGAGATCTCCAGTAACCAAAAAAAAAAAAAAAAATCCTCAGGCAAAGAGTTGCCCTTGCTGGCAGTCACAACTAAGTCTAATGGGCTCAGAAAAGGAAGTACAATGTGCATATGGCTGGGCATTCACAGTATGTGCTTTGACACTGCACCTGAAAATATAAAAATATATGTACTTTAATTATTTAACAAAATTTCAGAGAGCTAGCATACTGAATGACCCCACCTTGATAATTAATAATAGAGCATCTATATTATTACTCTAACTTGATAGTTAATATAGTTAAAAATATAGCAACTATAATAGTCATATATAAGTCTACAACCATTTGTTAATATTTGCCAAAAGGGTGGGGGTGAAGGGAAAAATGCCTACTTGCTTAATGAATTACAATTTAGTAGGGGAACTAAAATACTTAGATAGAAAATAGCACAGTAGATTACATTTAGTTCTACAACATCCATGTAAAGTTTTTGGAGTACAAAGTAAAGACAAAATACTCATCACATTTAAATAGATAGTGATTAATATTAAGAAACTGAAAAAAGTACTTAAGACTATGCTAAATCATAAAAGGGATTCTGTATGAGACTATTTTCCTATATGGTATGGTACAAGGTATAGTGACATTATTTTTATGAAATGTATGTAGAGGTCAGGTGAGGTTTTCTTTATCTGCGCTAGGCTCAAGCTATTTTTGTCAGCTCTGTAAACCCAGGTACTGCCAGATAAAACTTACGGTTAATTCTTTTGCTGGCACATAATGAACTTCAACCAGAATGGTTCTATTCATAATGCCAAAAACAGTACTCGTCAAAGTTCTAAACAACAGACTCCCTTTCTTGTGGCTTAACATGGTTTTAAATCAACTCTAGGTTTCCTTTGTTTTGCTGAGCCATTCAAAAATGTAGTGTGAAGGCAAACTGCCATGAGCTAGAAAAAAACAAAATAGAAAAACCTACATTGGGTTTCCAAAACATCAAAGTATAGTGGAAAATTGTCTGTAGGGAAAGAATGAGGAGAATGAAGAGAAAATGCTGAGGATAAACAGTTTAGTAAAGGTACAGAATAAAAAGCGTCCAGAAGAGAGTCAGGCTGAGGTCTTCAACATCATCACAAAAAGTAAGGATTCAGGGAAGAAAGAAGTAGGTCTTACTTCTACTAAATATCTGTTATGTGACAAGTACTGTGATAGATTAAGAGTACATAAAAATCTGAAAAGCTATGGCTCTGGGACATTTTATTCTGTCACAGCTTTCTACCATGTCTGTTTTTAGGAAGGGTTATACTTTCTGCCCCATTAACATCAGGCTTGGCTGTGGGACTTAAAATGTAAGTGGATATAAAGTGCTGCTTCTGAGCAGAATATTTAAGAGTCTTCAGTCTTACCACCTCGTTTCCCTCTACTATGAGCTCTGTAATATTCCAGATAGGGGTTGCTTTTCCATCCTGGATCATGGAGTAAAGAGAACATGAAGTACATCTACTAGTCACATTTTCATAAGTAAGAAATAAACATCTGTTGTTGAAAGCAACTGAGGTATTGCTGCTACAGCATAATCTACCAAAAATGAACTGATATAATCAATGGTTTACCATCAATAGTGGAAATGCTGAAAGATGGAGAAGGCTAAAATCTAACAGAAAAAAGCCAATGAATTAGTGAGCAGAAGAGCACTAAAGGCATTTATGAAAACATTTCAGAGAGGAAATCAAATTGGAAAGATTAAAGACAAGGTGGATGGTTTAGCAAATTGAAGCCCCAGTGCTGATTAAGTGATGGAAAGGGGTAGAATCATTCTGAGAGAGGACAGCAAGACTCAGAATCATTTGTTACAATAGACAGCAAATAATTTACAGTCATTAGTATCTGTAATTAGATATGTGATTTACTTGGACAGATCTAGAACCAGGCTAATTTGAAGGCTAAAGCTCTAATGCACAATTAGGACTTTTTTAATTTATTAATTTTTAGAAGGGGGGGAGAAGGAAGGAAGGAGGAGGGAGGGAAGGAGGGAGGGAAAGAGAAAAAGACATACATCAATTTGTTGTTCCACTTATTTATGCATTCATTGGTTGATTCTTGCATGTGCCCTGATTGAGCATCAAACCCGCAACCTTGGCATATTGGGATGAAGCTCTAACCAACTGAGTTACTCGGTCAGGGCCAATTAGGATTTAAATAGGGTTGGAATCCCCTAAGGCCATATTTCCCAAAGTGGTTAAGTATAGACATTGGTATTTAATGAGGCACATACAGCCACAATATAAACCTAAAGCATCTCTCTGGAACACCAATTTATTGAGGGTAGAGGCAAGAAAATGGTGGAGAAACCATTATTTTATAACCACTATATCACCTGTTACTATGTAGAAAGGCAAACTATGTAGAGATGAAAACAGAACCTCAGAGCCTCCTGCTTCAGCTTTCTGCCGCAGGGGCTCTGCTCTACCACCGTCCATGGTCCTTCCCTGAAGAGAAGCATGAGAGGCATTGGGCTAAGACAGGACGCCCTCCTCACCCAAAAGGATGCTTTTCCCTCCAAAAATAATACAAAGCCAACTATGGTATTGGTTATGAGTATCTGGAAATATCAAAGGAGTAATGGAGGAATGTGTTCTTTTCCTAAATATTTAAGGAATAAGGCATGTCAGATTATGCCCACAATTAACTCATTGGTTTTTCTTTCAGAACAAGAAAGAGAATGATTTATCTAGCCCAGAGGAAACAATAAACATTTTTTTTAAAATGAAATAAGAATCCCAAGGAGATTTTTTTTAAATATAAGAGTGGAATAAAGTTCAAAGTATACAATAAGGTTTAAATAGATGAGTTCAATTTAAGTAGATAAACTGGGCCAATTTAAATAACTTTCTTCTTTTCTAAATATTAAAATTCTTAATTTTCCCCATGAGTATTATAAATCATTTGGTAATAACCATATTAAGTTTCACCTAAATTATGCCTCAATCAAAAAGGTAAAACATTCTAAAGAGAAATTTTCACCTAGAATATGCCACGAAGTAGTTCTGCATGAAATCTATTGCACAATAAAGTTTTCTTAACATCATTATACTCTGAATCACAAGATGTTTTAAGTTTGAAATACATTGTTTTTTGCTTTTTCTTATATTTTTATTGTATTTTTTCCATTACCACTTAGTCCCCTTATAGCACTGCTCCCATTTCACTAAAGTGTGTCCCAAATTCCTCTAAAAATTACCATTTCAGTAATGCAGCCTTGACTATCACGCCTGTGTGTGTACAGAAAGAGACTAAAAATTTTACATTCTTGAGACTACACACATGTATTTTCCCTTATTACAAGGTAAGATAAAATTATTATTCTGACTCCTAGTCACACTTTTCTCAGGGTTTAGAGCAGCACAAGAACAGGCGAGTGTATTATAATTAAGTTGTCTGATTCCCAACTCACACTCTCTTCAGACAAGATCCAAGAAGGATTTGCCACATACAAAATTCCTTGCCCTGCTGTATAGTATGATAATGTTGTTCTGGTGTTAGAAGGTCTTCATTTACTTTCGACCGAATCATTTATCAGGGTCAGGAGCTGCTGCTTCTCTGGTCCAGAAGGTCCCAAAGGCCCCACTTTCTACCCACACAGTCTGAGGGAGTAGGCCTGCTTTTCCTTCCTCATTAAAACTACTCCCACTCACTTCCTCCCTCGGGTGTCACACTCTTGCAGAGCTGAGGAAAAGGAAGCAGACTTCCCAGTTCCCTGCTTCCCAGCTATCCTGGAAAACAAGCCAGAGTCATTTTGGGTTTCATCGTGGAGATATGACAAATTAGCAGCCATGTAAAAAAACCTTATGAAGTCCTGAGAATCAATGCCTCCAGTCAAAAAATCCCTCTATTCCTTGCTAAGTTGTGCCTCAAAGTTGTTTGGTACCTGAGGACTGCTCCTGATATCCCCACTAAGGATTAGAGTGAATTTTAAAATCTAGCTACATAGTCAGAGAAAGAAAGTAGAAGGCACATCACCATGGAAG